TTTTTTGCTGCATGAGTGGTTTTCCAGTCATGCTAGGGCAGTGATTGCAACATTAGGAGGGCAACATGGTGCTTCTGGAAGAGCTAATAAATGGCAACATCTTTATGCAGGATTTACTGTCTGGTTGTCACAGACCGAAGCACTAGGTGATTGTTGATCGATCTGAGTTTTGTTTTACACATGTTATCTGTCTTCAGTGCAACCCTGTTTTGAACCTTCAAATTGGGAACCAAAAGCCTCAACTTAAAAGTCATGGAGAAACTTTTACTACTACTGAGGTTGTGGATTTAGGAGGGGAAGTTTTATAATAAAGGAAGTGTGAGATTACAATGTGTAACTCCCTATAACGTTCCCTTAATTTTTCTAAACATCTTATTTCACTGTTCATGTTGTGCCCTCCCTCTGCCTTCATTTTCTTTTGATTCCTTCCCTACACTTCCTCTGCATGTTTACTTGCATGGTTGCTTCAGCATGTTTTCAGTTAAAATGATTTGGAAAACTTGAAATGCAGATGAGGATTCTGCAAGGGAGGAGACCCACAAAAGTGTCAAAGATGGCAGAATTTCATACACAAATGCAGATGTAGTTGTTAAGCTACAAGGCTGGGATCCTGCTTATGCCAAAAGTGTAGCACAAGCATGTTTAAGTGCCCTTAAACAGTTAATCCTGTCAGACAAGAAACTTCCAGGTACTTGTAGAAGATTCGGATGTTACTTCATGGGGTGAAATGGAAAGACTGAAAATAAGGATTAGCAGTAACAGATGAGAAGAAAAAGAACAAAAATATAAGTGAAAATGACTGAGGGCATTTTCATATTACAAGTGGAAAAAGGAGATTTTCATATTGAAATAAGGAAAGCTGAAAAATTTTCATTTGCCCAAGATTGACTTTGACAGTGTCATATTGCAGGTAAAAAAAGCCTCTACATAAGATTGGGATGTCGTGGTGATTGGCCAAATGTCAAACCCCCTGGTTGGGATCCATCAAGTGAAGGTAACACAACTCTTGGCACTCATTGATGATGCTTGAAATTGGTGAGTAACATGTAATTTGTTTATACAAGTTTGTCTACCACAAAGGTAACACAAGTGATAGATTCTGTTGTTCATGCTGTTATTCTAGTCACTTTAGTTTGATAACTATGTGATGGATGGTGTAACATAATTAAGGGCTTGTTGGTTGCAAAATTGGTGATACAGCTTTTGAACTGCTGCGGACTTACTCGATTAAAGCAATTGGAAATTGATATAAAATGGAATTTTATAAAATTAAATATATTTATTAATTAATAACTTATAATGAATTACATAAATTACTTTGTTATGGAAGTAGTTAATGTCTAAAAAGGAAAATTATTAACTTAAAAATAACCATTTGATATATATAGTCTTAATTCTTATCCAATTAGATAATTAATAATTGGTTTAATATATCATTTGGTCCTTAAGGGGTTTTTGTTCAAAGTCGTCCTACGTTTTAAAAAAGTTCAGTCAGACTCCATATTTTGTGTTAAAAAATGTTCAAAATGGTCCTTTTGGTTTACGGTGTTAAAAACATAATGGTACAGTTGCCTCCGTGGCCAAAATTGAATGATGTGTAAAGTTTTTGTAATACGTGACACATATGATATATTTGAATGTGTAAATTAAAAAGAAAATATAATGACGTCAGCTAGGTTTAACGAAATGGGTTAAATCAAATTACCCTTATCTAAGAATCTTATCGCGAATTCTGGGTTTAACAATCTGGTGAAACTGGTCTTATAATTACTGTGGTGTAGTGATTCCTTGAAGGTGAAATTTGAAGAGCGTACGTACGTGAGGTAAGTGTTGCTAACCTTAGCCTACTTACTTGATGTTCTTGTTGTTGGATTTGAGGGTTAGGTTTTGAGATGAAAATAGAGGGTGGAGTGGAGGTAGAAAGTAATGGTGGAGAGGAAGTGGATGGTGGAGTGGAGGTGGACATAGATGGTGGAATGGAGGTGGAAAGTAATGGTGGAAACTAAGCCATATATCATTCATGTGTTTTTTCGTTGATATTCATTTTGGACCAAAGTACATAGTTTTAAATTGAAAATGGGACCACATTGCACATTTTTTTACTAAAGGGGAAACTACATTTAACATTACATATAAACACCTGAACGTAAAGATTGAGCTTCACCTTCACATTACATGAACACTTACACCTGAACGTAAACATTGAGCTTTAACCTAAACAGACCCACATTGTCACAATATTCACCACAATAACAACACACACAGCTCCAATTAACAATTTTATCCTTTCTCTGACAATTTCACCATCTCTTTCGTCAATCTTTTCTTCATTACACCATTTGAAAAAGTTACAGTATATCCCTCTTAAAGATTCACCTTGTTATTTACCAAATAAGCCACCAAAATTGGTTCTAACACAGCAATCTATGAACAAATAAATTCCAAATTAAGTGAGATGGGTAAGCCAGGCGTGAAGTTGTTAGTGTTGGAGCCTATCGTGATCATCGACATCGCTACATCTTTTTCAAGGCGCCTTGTTGGCCAGGAACTCCACCAACGATACCACCAGCCCTTTTTCTCAATTATTATTCAATGTTCTTCCCTCTCTTTGAATGAGTTTTTTCTGGCTATGGGTGTTTGAGGTGAAGAAGAAGACAACAATGGGGTGATGGTTGCCGAAATGTTGAGAGAGAGACGGGGTTTCTGATTTTTTGTGAATTGCAAATTGGTAATTAGGGTTTCTGATTTTGCACATGATTTTGTGAATTGTGAATTGAGATTGTGATTTTGAAAATTGCAATTGGGGCTTCTGATTTTATACATGATTTTGCACAAACCCTAATCCTTTTCTTTTACCTAATAACTTCATTTTTTTAACATTTCCATGTACCTTGCCAACTTAATTAACCTCTCCTTGCCACACAATCAAAAACTGTACACATCATTCAGTTTTCGCCACAAAGGCAATTGTACCGTTATGTTTTTAATGTCGTAAGCTAAAAGGACCATTTTGAACCATTTTTAACGAAATATAGGGTCTTATTAAACTTTTTTAAAAGGTAGGACGACTTTAAATAAAAAATCTAAAACTAGGGATCAAATTATGTATTAAACCTTAATAATTTAATATGTAAAAGTAATAAATTTCTCAATTTATTTAGTTAGAGATATTAATTAATCAGTTGAAGTTTTGAAAATTATTTGCCTTGTTGAGTGTATTTTTAGAATGTTTTATATTCTTTTATAAAATATTTTATAAAAAAGCTAGTAAATTGATATGAAATATTGTCATGACTCTTACTGTTGCTTATGGCAGACCAACTCCAAGCTGATTTTGGCTGTTCAAGGATTGGATGTCTTTTTTCCCAGTCCTATTATTATTATTATAAACAATTAAAAAAAATAAAAAATGTGTCTTTATATTGTTTGTTGAAAAAATTAATTACATCCCTTTCATGATAAAATATTTTATAATTCAGTTTAAGAAATATATATATATATATATATATATATATATATATATATATATTTAATTATTTGAAAAAAATTATATGTCCAACTTTTTTCTCTTATTATTTAAAATATAGGATTTTTGTTAACAGGCTATAAACATTCACTGTCTAGTGTGATTACGTTTTTTTTTAATTCTTTTTAGGATAAATTAATTGAAAATAAAAGGTGTATGTACAATATCGCTAAATTTCGATCAATTCATATTAATATGCAGATGAATTAACTTAAAAGAGAGATTTTTCTACCCTTTTTAAATAACCTCGATTATAACAAAATTATGTAATCGAGACTTCATGCCATTAGTTTTTTTGTAAAACATATTGCTTTGTGATAATTAAATTATTTAACTAATAAATTAAAACTAAATTTTACTTCAGACTTGAATTTATCATGTTCATTCCTAACTGGTATATTAATTTATATATTAATATGATTTAAAAAATTATTCACCCATGAATTTTGTGGAGATTTCTTTACTTTATTTAACAAAAAACGTTTTCTGATGTGTTGTATTTAATATAAATAATTTTGTTTTTGATAAACTCTTTCGTAAAAGAAACTCGACAATTTTAAAAGATTATAGTGACGAAGTTTATTTAAATTAACAAACGCAAAATAAATTTCAATTTTTATTAGACAATTTTTGTAAAATGTTCATTTCCCTGAATTAAATATCAGTATTATTATTTCATGTTATAAAATTAATGTAAATCTTNTTATATGAAAGGAACCTCGGCCTCTGACACAGAATTGTTGAACAGACAGATAAACCCTGTTAGCCCAACAATCCTGGCCCAAACTTGCGTCCCTATTTAGATAGGCCCGTGTAACTGACCATAAGGGATTTGTTTGGGCCCAAATTTAGGAATAAAATAAAGACGTGTGTGTTCTGGGGAAGAAACAAAGTGCAGGAATCTTATGATTAAGACAAATGACATGGTTACACTATCCAGAAAAGGTACGTCAATATATAAAAGGAAAATAAAATATTATAAAAAAGAAATAGTCAAAAAATTAAAATTAAATCTTTTCCAAAACTAAAATGAGTCTACATAAAATATGTTAATCTTTTAAAAAATAAAATAATGCTTTTAGAAAAAAATTCCTTTTAAAAAAAAGTACATTTAAATAAATTTATCCTTAAGCTCATTTTAAGAGAAATAAAATAAAAATTATTTTTCCAAAAATTAATTTTAACTTAAAGATGAGTAATTTTTATTCTTTCTTAAAAATAATTACAAATAAATTGGTTCAGATATATCCCAAGACTTATTTGAACAAGCATATGGGAAAGAAAAACAAAAAATATTTTTGTATAAATTATTCGTAAAGTTTCTATAAATTAATTTATATATAAAAAAATAATTTTTCCCTTTTTTATCTTAAAAACTCTTACAGAAATATAGCCCAAGCCTGAATGATAAAGTAATTATGGGGTTACTAGAAGCAGCCCAAGTCCAAAAGTAGGGAGGAACCAACTACAGGAAAAAAAAAAACAAAGGGGCAGCAAGCATCCTAGTATTGTTATCTGCAATGGCAGTTGCTCCTCTTCGTCTCCGCTATCTCTTCCCAAACCACACAAACCTCAACTTCTCTCTTTTCAAACCCAATGTGTTGTCACTCACATCATTTTCCCTCTCTCCTATTTCTTCTTCTTCTTCTTCTCTTTCTCAAAAACAATATCTTCCTCTCCATTCCTGCAGGTGCTCCTCCATCGCCCCCGTCTCCACAACCACCTACGAGGTAACATCGATACCCTTTTTCTCTTTCCTCCATCAAAAGCAAAACAAAAACATCAAAATAGTTAAATTCGTTTTCTTTTCGAAAATGAAAAAAAAGGGTAGTTGACTATGTTGTCATTTGTCCGTTAATTTAGTTTATTCTTTGTCTCTCACACTTTGTCACATGCGAACTCTTCACCCAGCTTCTACCCGTCACACGTAGTTATTAGTTCATCACAAAGTAGATATTAGTTTCGGTTTTTCTTTACAAGTATTAGAAAGTAAGTGAGTTTTAAGCCTAACTCAATTCTTGTAAGGTGAGGTATGCAGATAGAGTAAAGGAATGTGATTCTAATAATGCTGGTTATATATATGCCTTACAAGGGTTACTTCTGTTATGGTAGGAGTTCACTGACATGTCTAATGGCGGCTAATTTTGCATAGCAAGTTGTTAAGGGTAAACGAATGTGTGTCTACAATTATCAATTTATACTCATATACATGTTTCGATGACTCTAATGGTTAAATATGTTTCGCAAGTGCATGTATTTAAGAGTAAACAAGTGTGATTGTATACAATTCTGTACGTACCTGTGGTGTTAATGGTTAAATACACTTCAGAGGTTAGTTAGTGTATTAGTGTTTAACTTTATTGATATGTTTTATTGATGGTTAACTGTACCTTAAAAATGGTTAACTGTTGGGGTGGATATTAGATCGACAGTTCTGGACGGGATTTGATAGTTTTTCATGTTTTTATCATTTGAGTTTGGTTATATTTGATACTAGCCAGTTACCAAATTCAAAATGCAGTTTTCCGATGGTTCTGCAGAGGTGGAGTTAAGACTAAAAATAGGAGGTTTGGATATTCGAAGCTCCAGAGACATATCAGTTGATACACACGATACTTCATTAGCTATCAGAGTGTTGCGGCAAGGAGCTCCCATCACACTTATAGAAACTAATCCTCTTTTTGATAGGATTAAATCCTCTGAAACAATATGGTTGGTTTGTGTGTTTGGAAGTACTAAAGAAATGTTTCTAGTTTTTGCCTTAGTTGATTTTTCTGATTGGGACAGGTATATAGATGATGACGAACTTGTCATGAACTGCAAGAAACAGGACCCGGATTTGAAATGGCCTGACATCATGGAGTCGTGGGAATCACTTGCTGCAGGATCTTCACAAATCTTGCAAGGAACATCAATATATCTTGTTGGTGATTCAACAGAAATCAACCAAAAAGTGGCTCAAGAGCTGGCAACTGGTCTAGGGTGCCATTACCATTAGTCCATCTGTGATTTTAATTATCAATATGAATCTTCTGTCCATTAAAATATAAATCTTGTTTCTAGTTTTACATAAATCAGTTATCACTTCTGGGAATATGTTTTCCAGCTGTGGATATAATAAAAATGTTAACAACTTAAGTCAGCTTTTACGGATACAAAACTATATATCAAAGGATTCACTTCAATGTTTGATGCTGTGACTTGTGTGTAACTTTCATCAATGAGTTATAAATTTTAGTGTTTGGTGTTCTTCTCAGGTACACACCACTTAGCACAAAAGAGTTAATGGAAACATATACCAAGCAGACTGTGGATTCATGTGAGCGCCATTTCTATGCCTTGCTTCTTATTCACAAAGCCTTCTATTTTTTTTCTCATGCTGCAGATTCCTGACAAACATAGTGACTTAAAGTTTCTCTATACTAGTAGTTTGATACTACTAAAAGGTACTCTAGGATCAATCTTAGAAGTGTCTTCTATGGTGTCTTACAAAATAGGATTACGTAAATTTTAGGTGCATCTCACTCTAATTGTTGAAATTAAAGGGATGTCCCGACTGTTCTTTTTAGAAGATGAACAGTCAGCATCTTTTGGAAAATGCTGATACCTGATAGTGCCAGTTTTTGTAGCTATTTTGGTCGTTATTTTCGTTGACAGAAGATGTGTTACAAAAGGAAAATACAAAATTTGTTTTTCCTACAATCTTATGATTGAAAAATCTGTGTTTATTTGAAGCTTTAGTTGCATTTAACGCATTTATATAAATCATCTTTTTCCTTTTTTTCCTCCGTTATCCTTGCTGCAGTTTATGTCTTGTTTTAATACCAGAGAATATGGAAATAAAAAGTGCATGCATCTAAGTATTTGAAGTGACTTAGATGTTATGTTTTTCGTGTATTAACAAGTGCAATGAATTCCAGGGCTGCTTGCCGAAGGCTCTGACTCAGTAGCAGAAGCAGAAAGTACTGTACTAGAAAGCATAAGTAGGTAAGTCAATGGATTCATTTCATTTGCTGGATCATTTTGTTATAGGGACCTAACAGATTTTTTGCTGCATGAGTGGTTTTCCAGTCATGCTAGGGCAGTGATTGCAACATTAGGAGGGCAACATGGTGCTTCTGGAAGAGCTAATAAATGGCAACATCTTTATGCAGGATTTACTGTCTGGTTGTCACAGACCGAAGCACTAGGTGATTGTTGATCGATCTGAGTTTTGTTTTACACATGTTATCTGTCTTCAGTGCAACCCTGTTTTGAACCTTCAAATTGGGAACCAAAAGCCTCAACTTAAAAGTCATGGAGAAACTTTTACTACTACTGAGGTTGTGGATTTAGGAGGGGAAGTTTTATAATAAAGGAAGTGTGAGATTACAATGTGTAACTCCCTATAACGTTCCCTTAATTTTTCTAAACATCTTATTTCACTGTTCATGTTGTGCCCTCCCTCTGCCTTCATTTTCTTTTGATTCCTTCCCTACACTTCCTCTGCATGTTTACTTGCATGGTTGCTTCAGCATGTTTTCAGTTAAAATGATTTGGAAAACTTGAAATGCAGATGAGGATTCTGCAAGGGAGGAGACCCACAAAAGTGTCAAAGATGGCAGAATTTCATACACAAATGCAGATGTAGTTGTTAAGCTACAAGGCTGGGATCCTGCTTATGCCAAAAGTGTAGCACAAGCATGTTTAAGTGCCCTTAAACAGTTAATCCTGTCAGACAAGAAACTTCCAGGTACTTGTAGAAGATTCGGATGTTACTTCATGGGGTGAAATGGAAAGACTGAAAATAAGGATTAGCAGTAACAGATGAGAAGAAAAAGAACAAAAATATAAGTGAAAATGACTGAGGGCATTTTCATATTACAAGTGGAAAAAGGAGATTTTCATATTGAAATAAGGAAAGCTGAAAAATTTTCATTTGCCCAAGATTGACTTTGACAGTGTCATATTGCAGGTAAAAAAAGCCTCTACATAAGATTGGGATGTCGTGGTGATTGGCCAAATGTCAAACCCCCTGGTTGGGATCCATCAAGTGAAGGTAACACAACTCTTGGCACTCATTGATGATGCTTGAAATTGGTGAGTAACATGTAATTTGTTTATACAAGTTTGTCTACCACAAAGGTAACACAAGTGATAGATTCTGTTGTTCATGCTGTTATTCTAGTCACTTTAGTTTGATAACTATGTGATGGATGGTGTAACATAATTAAGGGCTTGTTGGTTGCAAAATTGGTGATACAGCTTTTGAACTGCTGCGGACTTACTCGATTAAAGCAATTGGAAATTGATATAAAATGGAATTTTATAAAATTAAATATATTTATTAATTAATAACTTATAATGAATTACATAAATTACTTTGTTATGGAAGTAGTTAATGTCTAAAAAGGAAAATTATTAACTTAAAAATAACCATTTGATATATATAGTCTTAATTCTTATCCAATTAGATAATTAATAATTGGTTTAATATATCATTTGGTCCTTAAGGGGTTTTTGTTCAAAGTCGTCCTACGTTTTAAAAAAGTTCAGTCAGACTCCATATTTTGTGTTAAAAAATGTTCAAAATGGTCCTTTTGGTTTACGGTGTTAAAAACATAATGGTACAGTTGCCTCCGTGGCCAAAATTGAATGATGTGTAAAGTTTTTGTAATACGTGACACATATGATATATTTGAATGTGTAAATTAAAAAGAAAATATAATGACGTCAGCTAGGTTTAACGAAATGGGTTAAATCAAATTACCCTTATCTAAGAATCTTATCGCGAATTCTGGGTTTAACAATCTGGTGAAACTGGTCTTATAATTACTGTGGTGTAGTGATTCCTTGAAGGTGAAATTTGAAGAGCGTACGTACGTGAGGTAAGTGTTGCTAACCTTAGCCTACTTACTTGATGTTCTTGTTGTTGGATTTGAGGGTTAGGTTTTGAGATGAAAATAGAGGGTGGAGTGGAGGTAGAAAGTAATGGTGGAGAGGAAGTGGATGGTGGAGTGGAGGTGGACATAGATGGTGGAATGGAGGTGGAAAGTAATGGTGGAAACTAAGCCATATATCATTCATGTGTTTTTTCGTTGATATTCATTTTGGACCAAAGTACATAGTTTTAAATTGAAAATGGGACCACATTGCACATTTTTTTACTAAAGGGGAAACTACATTTAACATTACATATAAACACCTGAACGTAAAGATTGAGCTTCACCTTCACATTACATGAACACTTACACCTGAACGTAAACATTGAGCTTTAACCTAAACAGACCCACATTGTCACAATATTCACCACAATAACAACACACACAGCTCCAAATAACAATTTTATCCTTTCTCTGACAATTTCACCATCTCTTTCGTCAATCTTTTCTTCATTACACCATTTGAAAAAGTTACAGTATATCCCTCTTAAAGATTCACCTTGTTATTTACCAAATAAGCCACCAAAATTGGTTCTAACACAGCAATCTATGAACAAATAAATTCCAAATTAAGTGAGATGGGTAAGCCAGGCGTGAAGTTGTTAGTGTTGGAGCCTATCGTGATCATCGACATCGCTACATCTTTTTCAAGGCGCCTTGTTGGCCAGGAACTCCACCAACGATACCACCAGCCCTTTTTCTCAATTATTATTCAATGTTCTTCCCTCTCTTTGAATGAGTTTTTTCTGGCTATGGGTGTTTGAGGTGAAGAAGAAGACAACAATGGGGTGATGGTTGCCGAAATGTTGAGAGAGAGACGGGGTTTCTGATTTTTTGTGAATTGCAAATTGGTAATTAGGGTTTCTGATTTTGCACATGATTTTGTGAATTGTGAATTGAGATTGTGATTTTGAAAATTGCAATTGGGGCTTCTGATTTTATACATGATTTTGCACAAACCCTAATCCTTTTCTTTTACCTAATAACTTCATTTTTTTAACATTTCCATGTACCTTGCCAACTTAATTAACCTCTCCTTGCCACACAATCAAAAACTGTACACATCATTCAGTTTTCGCCACAAAGGCAATTGTACCGTTATGTTTTTAATGTCGTAAGCTAAAAGGACCATTTTGAACCATTTTTAACGAAATATAGGGTCTTATTAAACTTTTTTAAAAGGTAGAACGACTTTAAATAAAAAATCTAAAACTAGGGATCAAATTATGTATTAAACCTTAATAATTTAATATGTAAAAGTAATAAATTTCTCAATTTATTTAGTTAGAGATATTAATTAATCAGTTGAAGTTTTGAAAATTATTTGCCTTGTTGAGTGTATTTTTAGAATGTTTTATATTCTTTTATAAAATATTTTATAAAAAAGCTAGTAAATTGATATGAAATATTGTCATGACTCTTACTGTTGCTTATGGCAGACCAACTCCAAGCTGATTTTGGCTGTTCAAGGATTGGATGTCTTTTTTCCCAGTCCTATTATTATTATTATAAACAATTAAAAAAAATAAAAAATGTGTCTTTATATTGTTTGTTGAAAAAATTAATTACATCCCTTTCATGATAAAATATTTTATAATTCAGTTTAAGAAATATATATATATATATATATATATATATATATATATATATATTTAATTATTTGAAAAAAATTATATGTCCAACTTTTTTCTCTTATTATTTAAAATATAGGATTTTTGTTAACAGGCTATAAACATTCACTGTCTAGTGTGATTACGTTTTTTTTTAATTCTTTTTAGGATAAATTAATTGAAAATAAAAGGTGTATGTACAATATCGCTAAATTTCGATCAATTCATATTAATATGCAGATGAATTAACTTAAAAGAGAGATTTTTCTACCCTTTTTAAATAACCTCGATTATAACAAAATTATGTAATCGAGACTTCATGCCATTAGTTTTTTTGTAAAACATATTGCTTTGTGATAATTAAATTATTTAACTAATAAATTAAAACTAAATTTTACTTCAGACTTGAATTTATCATGTTCATTCCTAACTGGTATATTAATTTATATATTAATATGATTTAAAAAATTATTCACCCATGAATTTTGTGGAGATTTCTTTACTTTATTTAACAAAAAACGTTTTCTGATGTGTTGTATTTAATATAAATAATTTTGTTTTTGATAAACTCTTTCGTAAAAGAAACTCGACAATTTTAAAAGATTATAGTGACGAAGTTTATTTAAATTAACAAACGCAAAATAAATTTCAATTTTTATTAGACAATTTTTGTAAAATGTTCATTTCCCTGAATTAAATATCAGTATTATTATTTCATGTTATAAAATTAATGTAAATCTTGATGTATATATTTCTTGTATTTTGTTGAGAATGCTAAGTTTAATAAATATTCTTTTGTAATTTTTGTGAAAAGTATTCATTCTAATTTGTTATTTTTATCATTTCATATATTCATAAATGATACTTTTACACAACAAATTTGCACGTTCTTGTCACGTAACAATACCTCAAGTTTGGAAGTTTTGTTATTGTATGCGCAGATTTAACGAACATCCTAACTCGTTACGTGACCTTGGCAACAATTCTCTCTTCCACCACTTTACAATCTAACTAGATAATAACACTCTTCATGTTCACTATTTGTGAACCACCTATTAAATGCTAATGACTCCTTATCTTACGACTAAATGTATTTGTTTAATTTAAAATAGTTTCCAAGTACCTTCAACTGAATGATACACCCAATATAACATTCATTCAAACACACCTTAAACCTACGAGTCAACCAGCAACGACTAAAAAAGAATCTGCGAAATGATCATACTTTACTATATTTATCTTCAAGTGGAACCAAGTCTCAGAAGCCATTGCTTCCATCTGATTATTGGGTCAGAAAGATTTCCGTTCCCCATTGTCATCAATTGCATATAAAGTAATCAAGACCTAAAATAAACTTTAACACTATGGATAATAGGGTTTTCATTAGGGAGCTGGTTCAAAACTTGAATTGCCCATGCCTATGACCTCTCAAAAATGAGCCTAGCATTGCAATTGTTGCTTAAATGCAATCTCCGTACACTCTCCAATTTTTTTCTTCACATCATGCCATATGAACGGAAGCTAACCTGATTTAGGAGAATCATCAAATAAACATGAATCGTCTCCTTACAGAATCTCGTAGAATAAAACATTTTAAATGTAAAAATTCAGACACCCGGGAAAAAAAAATATTAAAATCGGTTTTCTCGAGCTTTTTCCACAAACATAGAAATAGATTATTAATCAGAGAGGATCTAGAAGAAATTTTTTATGCCACGTTCTAATAAAAGTCCTAGATAACTTAATTTTCCCTTTATAACACCTAAGAATTACCTGCGCGATAATTCCTGACTCAAATTCCCAAAGCTTCTATAAGCAATGACAACGAACTTTTGATGCGAGAAAGACTCAATCCTTACGTCACTCTTTAACACTCGAAAAGGAGTTCTCACGTCTTATTACATCATAGATTTTCATTTATAAATTTTTCGCACATAAAATGCAGTCAGAAGTACGTTTCATTAGTACGACAAGACCCATAAGCACGAGTAAGCACTGTTTTTTATTGCTAAGAAGTATGTTTGATTACTATTTCACAAAAATAAGCCAATTCCAGAAAATGTTTTAACAAGACTACACCACAAAGAGCTACAGTAACTCAAATGAGCTGGTGAGGTAATTTACCAAAAAAACAAGAACTAACAAACACACCAGCATTACTGTCTAACCAGTCAGCCAAAAAATCAGGTAGTCAAGTGATAATTATGATCTAGGAAGCTTACGATGAAATGAATAGAAGAGTGCAACGATGATCTGAAGAACAACCCTTTCAACAAAAATCTGACCTCAAGGAGTCAACTTCAACCCAACCTCAGAAGTCGTAATTTTCTTTTGAAAATAAATCCACAACTGCGTCATCAATAGATACAATTCCCAGAAAAATCAGAAGCAATGTTAAATCTTTGTATTCCAAACAGATCAACCAGCCCAAAAGCTAGGCACCTTCATTCAAGAATAAAATCAGTAACAGTCTACACCAGGCAGATTGAAGGTAAAAAAAATCCCTAACATGCTTCAAAAACACCATTGACATCACAAGACGTTAAATACACCAAATCCACAATAGAAGTAAACTAATTATGAAATTTGAAAGGGGGAAAATAGGGAATATCCAATTTTCGTTTTTTATTGTAAAGTATAAAAACCTAACAGAAAGTGGAAAATTGACAAGGCATATAATCAACAGACAAATTAAAATAAA